CCCCAAAACCCCAAAACCCCAAAACCCCAAAACCCCAATATTTGCTCTAAACTTAAATTATTAATGATAAGCTATTTTACTCAGAAGGAAAACTGGTATCCAAAGATCGTGAAAGGCAATCGATTGGCCAAGTATTACCCCAATAAGCTAAAATGCTCTTACAGGATGGATCGAGAAACTAAGTAAGATCTCTCAAGTGAATAGTGGAATTTCAATCCCTTGATAATTTTCAGTGAATTTTTAGCAAAGGTTAACTGCTTTCTATAGGATAGATTATTCTCCACTCCCCTTTGTTGCTGAAATCTTGAAGGATACTATTGAGCAAGCAGATGATTCTCTTGGGATTAAAGAAAGCATTTATCTGTTTAAAAAACTAGGTTTAACACAAGACTACACTAACAAGAATATTTATCGTGAAGAATTACTTTGTCCTCTGATTCCGAAATTAACACTAGTACTTGCTGATTGTGATACAGACACAGAAGACCAGATAATTTCATTCTTGTTGGCTTTATGCCTCAATATACCTAAAGGGATCTTTTTAGCGTCATTTATCCCAGCGACTGAGAAGTATGCTTTGGCAAAACAGTTAATCGGTAAGTTCTTACTAAAATTTTAGAATTGCTGAAAAATGTTATACCAAAGCTTTATGACTATCTCATTGGAGTTCAAGCAATATCATTGCTGTATTTGGTAAAGGATCTATGTCGAGATCCAGAGTTTCTCTATGCCTTCTGGGAAGAAAGTTTGATGTCAAATCTTCTGAAGAAAATTTCTTTAGAAAATAAGACTTATAAACAGAAATGTTTTTCTCTTCTTGTTCTTGATATCTTATTGATTTTCAGCGAGAATATGTCAGAAGATTACTTTGAAGATACCAAGAAAGTCTTTATGAAATATATTGTTAAATCTAGTAGGGTTTTATCAAACAATCCTCGTTTAGGATACAATGATCTTCTGACTCAAAGTAATGAAGAAGCTAGGACTAAAATTCTAAAGATATTCAATCACTTGACTGCTGCTGATGACGAATTTGTCAATCAAATCTTGAGACGGTTTTATCAATTCCCCCAAGACCTAGTCGAACTAATAAGAAGGAATGGCGAGATCACTATTAAAGATAATTCCTCTGATGATATTGAAAAGAAATATAATTCAATTGATCTAAAACTACCAATACCTTCTTTAAATAATGAATCTGAAGCAAAAGAGGGAAATAAATTTGATTTCACTAGATTGGAAGCGCTCAAAATCGCCATGAACCTAACTAAGTACAAGTCTAATTTTACTAATCTGAAGGAAGATCTCATCAATGCAAACCTTCTAGAAGCTTTGACGTATATAATTGGTTCTGAAGCGAATGATTTAAAGGCAATCGCATATAAAAAGTATGCCTTTGACTTACTTGCTAAGTTCAATAGCGAAAATTATTGCATTATCAACAGAATTGAGTCCTCAGATGTTATGAAATATCTGTGCTTTAGTCTTGAGTCAACTGCTGATGAAGTTATCCTTGAAAAAGCTATTCAGTTTGTTAAGACTGTTTTTAAACATTACCAGCCTTCAGTAATAAATCACCTTCTTGAGAATGATATTTTAGTGAGACTTATGTAAATTAGCCACTTAACTTATAGCAACATCGATAGATCAAAACTAGTAGGAAAAATAGCAAAGACAAATGCAATGCATGCCTTGATGCTACTCTTTGAAAATGCACAAAACAGTTCTGAAGAATACTCTCCTATATATTTCGAGTATGCGCTGCTTGAGGAAGACGAGTAAGTAAATAAAACTACCTTATTTAGAAAGCAAAGACTATACTCTATTTTAAAACAGGCTGATAATTTTGACTTAAAACTCCTCCACTAAGCTCTAATATTCTTCGTGAAGGCGATTAAAGACATTTTCAACTTTGTATAAATATAAAGGGGTTTTGGGGTTTTGGGGTTTTGGGG